TTTTGAGAAACAAGTTATTTACGGGATCGCAATGATAATGTTATTTCCATAATGTTACCTTTTATCCTTAATTTTAAAAAATGTCTATCACGACTTGCACTTTGTAACTATATCCAGTCATTTCGTGGATATAAAGAAAGAACTAGTTATTTTTTTCGCATGAACTTGCTTTTATATAGACCCCTTTGTTCTTTTCCCCTGTCTTTCCTTCATCTAGCCCGATTATATCAAGTGTGTTTCCGCATTTGTAGATTTATTTAGTGCATAATTTTTCCTTTTTCTTTTTGACTTGGCGATTGCCTACGACTTATCCTATTCTTCCGTACAGGCACGTCTATATACCTATATAGGCAATCGCAGTAACCCAACACGACCCCATACGTAAAAAGAAGAAACAACTCAAGCAGAGAGGAAGAGCATCGTATTAATTCAAACTGATTAAATTTGCTCCGTCAATAAAAAATCCGAAATGCCGGCCAAGACGAAGCAGTCGAATCAGAAAAACCACCCTAACAGTCAAAAGGCGCAGTCGCGCGGCCACACGAGCCGCCACGGAAACGTTGACGAGGCAACGCTCGCGGCTCTCGTGGAGGCGATTGAGGGCGGTTCTAGCAAAAAAGGAATGACCAAATCGCAGGCTCGAAGCCTCGAGGAAAAGCGGGTGGAGTCGATTAAGCGGATCTACGGCCGCGCCGGCCAATCGGAGGGCGGCATCCTCCCACCCCAGCAGCTCCACGACGTGTTACTCGCGCAGCGTCTGCAGCAGCAATCCGCGATTCAAGAAGCGGCCTATGTGAACGTTCCGATTCCTTTGAAGGCGGAACAGCAGCGCTGGCAGGAGGTGGCGCCCGGCCGCTACGTTCGCTACGAATCTTTTAATCGTGAGAGCAACGACAGCGACGAGGTGATGAACTTCATCGTGGATCTCTTCACCGCGGAGTTGTCGGAGCCGTATAGCAGCTTTACCTATCAGTACTTCGTGTTTGGGTGGCCGGATTTGTGTATTATGGCGTACGGCCTCCAAAGCGATACCCCGCCGGAGGATTCCGAGAAAGGGGAAAAAGTCGGCGCGATTGTTTCCCGGGTGGTGCGGGAGGGACCCGGGGAGCCGCTCTCCGGCTACGTGGCGATGTTCGCGGTGGTACCCCGCTTCCGCGGATTCCGCCTCGGCCGACGGCTAATCGAGCTCACCGTGGAGTTGATGCGCGCGAAGGGCTGCGATGAGGTCTACTTAGAAACCCCTGTTACGAATGAACGGGCGTTTTCGTTGTATACGAGTCTAGGGTTTGTGAAGACGGCGTTTTTGCCGCGGTATTACCTGGATTACTCAGATGCGGTTCGGCTGAAGCTGTGGCTGAAGGACGCGTTACCAAACGACGAGGTCGACGCCCCGGCGGCTGCGGACGCCCCGGAAGAACGGAGCGCCGCGTAAAAGAATTTAAGCCTCAGGAAGAAAAAGAACAGGAGCTGCTCAGTGGGAAGGAAACAAAGAGGGGGGGAATGGAAAAGGGGGGGGAGGGGACGTTGCTCATGTTTGTGCGTGGTAGGCAGGTATTCTTTCTTTTAACTCCTTTTAAGTGGTTAGTTCTTTTCCGTAAAACGGAGAAAATCCTCTCGATACTTTTGATTTCCTAACGTTACTTAAAAGATAAGCTCCACCATTGCTATCTGTACATTCGTTTATGAGAATTGATCTAAAAATCTAAAAAAAAAGGTCAAATGGATGTCCCTAGAAAGGGAGTTAACTCTCTGTATAAGCGCCTTTTTATTTCATCTCGGTCACAAATATTCTAAAATTATGTGTTTTAATATGAATTTCACAATACATATCGTTTTTTTTTTGAGAATTTTGGATCACAGAACAGTAACTGTTGTTAAACTTTAAACCGAGGTCCTTAGCCCACGCACCGTGCGTCACCCAAAAGGAAATGGGTTGTTTCTAAAGCTGCGTCTTGTTCAAAATGAGTGTTTGCTGTTGTTGGTTTTGGTCTAGACTTCACTGGGGTTGTTGGGGATGCCCCTATACTCAGTCTGCCTCGTAAAGCTGTAAGCTATCATAATGAAACCATGAAATAAAAAGGTGATCGATCTATCCAAGCGTAAATGTCATTTCCAATCTAATCTAAAAACTTTCTCTTAAAAAATAGTATGAAATATTACTATTTAATTGTCTCTTCCCCTTCCCCCCTCCTCACACCCATTACCGCTTCTTTTTGGAACTACTGCAGTATGGTTGAGAGGGGGAAAGTTGTCGTTCGGAGTGCCTCACCGCCCCGCGTTACATCGAAAGATTAACGTTTTATTGCTAAATGACTATTTTATGTTTAATTCATTCCTAATGACTTTGAGACTGACTAAAGGAGGAGCAAGGGGAGGGGGGGGACTAGGTGAAGCTATACATGCATGCCGAAAGATGAATTCTCTACTAATTTTTTTTTCTCTCCCCACACCCCTCCTTTTCATTCACCTTGAGTATTAAAGTGAGGAGATATGCGTCCATCCAATAGAAACGACGTCTTACCGGCCTTCCATGTTGATCGTAGCACCCTTGCGGAGAGCCCTCCGATAGACATTGAATGCCATTGTCGCCCGACGACGGCGGCCTACCCTGGCGACCCCTCCTTCCTCTCGAATATGACTCCGCTCACGGGGGTGGGAACCCCCACTTTACCCTCCGCCACGAACACCTTCAGCCTCGACTCCACCGGGGAGCGGGAAAAAACCCCCGAACTCCTCCCACACCGCACGCACGAGCGGGTGAAAGCCTACCTCGAGCGATTAACCAGCGAGGCCGTCCCTCCGGCGAAGGAAACGAGAAAACGAGGGGTGGAGACGCCCCCTCTCCCGGATTTGGCGCCCCCGCTCACGATTTTCGACGCGGTTTCTAAAAAAGAAAAGTTGGAGCACCTCGACACGTACCTCGCGCGTTTCACCTCGACCCGTCATGGCGACGACGCGCAGCGAAATGGGGAGGTGCGTCGAGTCGTTGGCGAGATCGCGCGTTTGTATCCCGGGTTGCGATCGATCTGCCATCAACTCAGCCGATACCTTCGCGAAACGAGGAATGCAATTCAAGAAATGAAATCCCAGCACCAGGAGACGCTAGAGCGGCAAGAACGGGAGATTTACAAGCGATTCGAGACCTTCTTCGAGAATAAGATGCTCGCCGTCCTCCGGGAGAAAGGGGAGATGGAGGACGCCTTGAAGAAGCGCAGGGCGGAGGTGATGAAGCTGCGCAAAGAGCGCGATGAGGACCTCACGCAGCTCAAAGAGGAGCTTCTCCGCCGCCTCGCCGTCTGCGAGCGGAAGGAGGAGGAGTTTTGCTCCTTCCGACAACTCATCGCGGCGGTCTTCAACACCAACGGGCTTCTGACGAAGCGGGTGGAGGACTTGGAGGCGCTGCTCACGCGGCATCGCATCCAAATCCCCCCCGCCAAGGCCGATCTCTTCAGCTTCTCCACCTCCTCCGC